TTAATGCTAGAAACCCAGATAGTAGACTATTCTAACGAAGTAATCTTATACAATTTTTCCAAAGTATATTGTAATATTCCAAAAGAAATGGCAATAGCCACGTTTCACGAATTAAACATACAAAATAATAAACACAAATTACAACAAATTAAATTTAAAACAGACAAATTGATATTTCAATCACCGTAATTAATTTATAATGTATAAAATTAACTCAGAATATTAATACAAAAAAAAAAGAAGGATCTACCTACCACAATATTTATGTGAGGAAATAGAAATAGTTAAATACATATAATTTACAATACACATTAATGATTAATTTTTCACATTACGCATTAGGTATATAAATATAACCATTTTAAATCAACGCACAAATTAAATTTAACTATCTAATTTTAATATTTCTCCCGGATTTAATAATATGTAATACCCTTTTAAGAACAAATATGTAGTTTAGCATTAGATTAGCAAAACCAATAGCAAGACATCAGCAGTTTTTATATTAACTAATAACTAAACTATTGTTATATTAATAATATTATAATATAACAATTTAAATGTAAGCAAAAAATATATAATATTTATATAATATTATGATATATCCATATGACCATATATAAGTATATATGTCATGTCTAAGGTTCAATTAACTCTATACCTCTATTAGAAATGTATGATATAATATTACAATATTACGTTTAAGAAAAAATAATAAAATATTAAGAATATGTTACAAATGTAAAAACAAAAGAATAGAATGTATTTTTAGCATAATCAAAAATTCACGAGTAAACAAGCCACAACAATCTTCTGAGACAAGGGGCAAATATAATATTTTTTAAGTAGACAATAAGCATTAAGCCATTAATTATAGAAACAATAGTAAATACAATTTTTCCATTTGAAGACACGAAGAAAAACAGTCCAAACAGAAATTTGAAAAGTAGAAATATAGATATAAGAAAAAAAATTACAAATCAAATTCGAGAAAAAGAAAACAAGCGAGATAACAAATACTTACCTTATGAAATACAAAAAGAGAAGAAGAATTAACTACCACAGAATCAAAGAATAAAGTACCACGGAAGAACAACCAACATTTACTGCTATTTACCGAAATAAAAATATTATACTTCAAACCGTGAACAATCTCTAAGAAAACATTTTTCCACAAAAGGACCAACCAATACATTTTTATAACCTTATATGTATTTATATATTTTTCAGGCACACATTAATAATAATTAAAATAGTAGGATTAAATTAACATTCCAGCATAATTTTATAGTCAACGACGCGAATAAGCCGAGACAGTTATTTAGTGGTAAAATAAGTGAGTTATTAATGTAGTACCTAATAAGAAGTTTTTATGTAGCAATAGCATTAAACAATTGTTTATTTTTTCATTAATGAGGGCATTTTTTCGAAAAAACTACGGGGACTGTCGTATATTGTAGACAGTCGTCAAAATATTATTATTTAATATATAATGTATTATGTAATATAAGTGGGAATATTTTAAATTGTAAATTATTGACATAGGTCAGAACAGTGAAGCAATATGTGCCGAGGCAGCCATAATATTTTACTATATAACACCGCAGACACGAGCAGTCCTGTTGTCGCTGAGTGATTTGACGAGGACGTAGGTACGACGGTTGTACGTGTGAAACGTCGATCGTAGTACGGGCTAGGCAATCTGAATTTGCTAAGTGATTTATTTATGTTTGTTTTAATATAATAAAAGTATTTCCGACCTGAAAACCCGAGTTTTATAATAATTTCAGTCATTCTTAAGCTCTTACCATTTATATAGGAGCAGCGCCGGGATATACGTAGGTACTATGTGTCAATGAATTTTTATTAAACTGAATAGTGCCAAGGTATATGTAATCATTGAGTCATTTCAACTAGATAGGAACGAACTAAGAATTGACAAGCACATATCAAAGTTAACAGTGCCATTCTTATTAATTTTATAGAGTGTCATTAACTAGAGAATACGAGGGTACCTAAGGCGTATAGTTGGTTTACCGAGTATTATCCAATACGGGTGATGCCACAAGTCAACTTTTTTGAACATTTTACGGTGTGTATAAAATGCTAATATAAGCGGTCACTGAAAATTGCATGTATCTTTGGTAATTTGTTTAAGAGTTAAGTACCCCAAAAACCAAGATTTTGTCAAAAACCGAGTTTGCGTGAAGTGTCCCGTTTTTCCTTTATTTTTATTTTGTTTTTCCCAGCGCTTTTGAAAACTATTGGGAATTTTAAATTTTGACCTCCAAATATACTAACTAGATTCACTTTCTCATCAGTCATCGAACAAGATACTGTTGAAGAACATCGAAGCATCTTTACTGCCCCAAATGATGATGACACAAAAAAAAATAATCAATTAAAAAACTCTTTGTTGTAAAATCAATACATTCATCGCTCCGCTCAGAATCTAAAATTTACCTCAAACATTTTTTAATAGTTTAATACATTCGGATCCTTTTTTGCCGAAATTTGATTTGTTCTGTTGATTTACATATTATTACTGTTCCCGCATTCCTATTCTGCAGTTTACATTTCAATAAATATAATTTTACATAAAGCACAGTGACTTCCTGAACTTAAGTTAACTATTATCCGCGTTGTAATAGCTGCTCCGATATAAACCAATACGTTTTCAATTCGACGAAAACGCTGCCGAATACGCCGTGTATAGGACGGCCTGAGGCGTCACCACATCACAGTCGGCCTCACTCCCGTATTGTGCCATTATAGATGTTTCACATCAAATAAGAAAATATTGAAAATGTCAATTATAATATATAATATTATACATCTATATGCTTAAAAAATAGTCAAACTATTTTGAAAATGGTATCAAGTGTAATAAATGCCCATAATATAAGCATATTATTATCTATTCAAATTATATTTTATCGAATACCGGTGTAACCCCAAAAATTTACCTCAGTGATATTAAATACCCGAGTAAATTTTAGCTAGTTATATTTTACCCCTCCAAAAGTAAAATTTCAGTAGCGATTTTAGTGAAATTGATTAATTTTCTTCAAAAGTATTTTTTCTGATAGGAAAATAAAGCTAGTTGGTACTTTGGGGGGAGGGGGGACCAATAGTAAAAAAATTCTAATAGATTTTGAAAGCCAGGGAAAAAGAAAAGAAATTTTATGTTCCGTAAAAAAACTCGAAAATTTAATACAAGGATATTAATATATTGTTACAATGACTTTTTAAAAATATTATAAAAATCCATGGTCACATTTTTTTTATAAACATTTAAAATTCGAATTATAACAATAGGCGTATAAATCACGAAAATGTGCGAATTATTTAGAGTTGGATGAATATCCAAAAAAACCGAGTAAATACTCGGTTTTTTTATTTTGTTGTAACTCAAAAACGAAGAACCGTAGAAACTTGCGATTGCTATAATATGTTTATTTTATCAATTCCTATACAGCAGAGTGACACCCACTCGTCCACCTTAATTTTTTAAATTATTCAAGTAGTTAAATATAAGTATAACTATCTATACTTTTAACATAACAAAAATATTAAAAAAGAAAACGTTGTTCATCCGTCTTGAAAATGTTTTAAATAAAATACATGAAATGAATATGTTTATAACACTAATAACTATTATAAAAGACTTACAAATGGAATAACGGATGAAGGAACGTATAAAGTACAGTAAAAACAAAAATTCAAATTTCAAAAGTTCAAGGTATTTTCCCACCTCCCCTTGGAATAATAAATTGATCTTTTAATCCTGAACAAACTGTTTATTAAGGAAATTAATATATTTACAAACAATTACAAACGACTTATAACCGAAAATCCCAAATTCCAAATTTTAAGTCGTTCACCCCCCCCCCCTTCCTTTATGGAATTAGTGGTCTTTAATTAATAACAAATTTGTTTTTGTTTACAAATAAAATTAATATTTTTACAAACAAATAGCAATCAATAATTTGAAATTTAAAAAATTTGTAGCATTTCCCCAGCCCCTCTCAAATAAATTATTTTTCATTCTTAACGAGTTGTATATAAATAAAATAGTATATTTATAAAAAACATTCCAAACGAGAGCTGAAGAAAGCATTGTTAAAATGTATATATTATTTTTTGGTGATTGTGGTGTGGGAGGGAGGGCTGGGAAAATGGACCTTATTTCTAGTTAAGCTAACATTTCATTTTCTAGGCTTTTTACATGACAAATAAAGTTTAATCGACATTTATAGAAAAAAAAACAAATATAATTGGAAACTGAAAATATCTCTATAAATAATTCAAAACTAATCAAAATATTTTAAAAATGTTATAGTGTATAGAAAACGCAAATATAAACACCCAGTGAAAATTTCATGTATAAAGTTATTTTTTTTTAAAGTTACTTCAACAAGATTCACTTTCCCATCAAACAAGATACTGTTGAAGAAAATCGAAGCAGTTTTATTGCCCCAAATGGTGGTGACAGACGCCAAAATAAAAAAACACATATCATTGTAAAATTAATACATTCAGTAGCCCAGAATCTAAAATAGCTATCGTGCAATCATTAAAACAAATGGTGTTCAGGGGTAGGTATAACAAATTGTGATGTAAAATAAAATGTGATACAGAAATATATAAATGTAAAGCATACTATGTAATTTTACATATCACAATAGTTTAACATGTAACAATAATTAGATAGATATAATTATTACTTTAAATAATAATAATAATTTTAACTAATAGTTATCTCTAAAATAAAAAAACAATTATTAATTATTATTAACCTGAGTTTAATATAAACCATTGCCAAGTTCATGTTGTACATTTCAAGTTTATACATTAATTCTGATAATAAAATATAACACTAGGTATTTAATAATTGGTTCATTTTTAAATTAATATTTTATACAAAATTAAATTGATGTTTAAATCAGTTTATTTATATACCTATAATATTTTAAATACAAATATTAAATACAAATAATTTATACCCCGTCTGAATAATCATAGATTATTTCTGAAGGTAATAATGGAATAGCTGTGGGTACAGGTTTGATTTGGTGTGGTGCTTTATGTTGATTGAGTGAATAATTTGATTGAATAGTCTCCAGGGAATTGATTGTATTTGTTATTTGAGTGCTTTCATAAGCAACATTAGGTAATGGTGAGTTCATTTGATTCTATAAAATACAAATATCATAATAAATATATATTGAGCAATAAAAAATAAAAATAAACATGACGGGAATGACAAGTGTATTTAATATATTTCTTTTATCTAGTTTTTTAATTGTATAGGTCTATGGTAATGGTGCTTTTATTTGAATTTAATGAATACAAACATCATAATAAATATGTATTTAGTAATAAAAATATTCATGACTTACATAGACAGAAATGGCGGGTGTATTTAATATAAAACTTCTTTTATCTATTTTCATAATTGTATGAGGTGGTAGTGATGGTACCTTTTTTCTTTTCTATTTCATACAAAAATCAAAATAAATATGTATTTAGTAATCAAAATATAAATGACTTACTTTGACAGAAATGGAGGATGTATTTAATATAAAACTTCTTTTATCTATTTTCATAATTGTATTAGTTGGTGGTAATGGTGCTCTCATTCGATTCTATTACATACAAACATAAAAATAAATACGTATTTAGTAATAAAAATAGAAATTACTTACATTGGCGGGTGTATTTAATGTATTTCTTTCATCCAGTTTTAGAATTTTATTAGTCGGTCTTGTAAGCAGCTTATTTAACATTGGATATTGGATATTGGACGGTGGAGATGGTGGAGACGAATAAGGTTTTAATGCTCGTTTTACGGCAACTGGAAGAATAGCACTTTCAAGTGGTGACGGGATAGAAATACCTTGTGGAACAATCCTCAGGTTTTGAGGGCTCTTCCAATCTACCCGTTTTATTCTATTTGAATGTATTGCCGTAAGTTTTGCATTTTTGTCAACCACAAGTACCTCTATATTTGGTTTACCAAGCAAAGCAGGATTACCATTTGGAGTAATTGCCCTCAGAGATGGACTTGAAAATATTGGAATATTACTTCTTAAATCAGTGGACATTGAAGTAGATGAAATTAAATTAATACCATTATTATATGCAGTGAATATATTTTTTTCAATGCTTAACCTTGAACTTGTCATAAATGGTAGAATATTTACAGTTTTATCAATGGGTGCTAAGGTAGAAGGTTCATAACACTCAAGCTGTGTATTGCATTGAGTCAAACTTGATTGACCATTTAACATATTTGGGCTTACGCTTGAAGCTCTCATATCTGATGGTCTGTCTACAGTTAAATCAGTGTACTTGGGAGTAGACTCCATTATTTTTGGTTTAGTTTTCTTAATATCTGTGTTATATTGTGTCGAAATTGTTTTTTGATTACTTAACGAATAATAGCATAATTCTGAAGTTGTTATAACCTGTGGATTGTTTACAGTTGTATCAATGGATGCTGGAGTAGAAGGTCCGTAGTAATTAATCATATTGGATTCAATTATTTTAGATATTTCAATTTCTGGGTCATATTGAGTAAAAATGTGTGTATTTGGACATACATTTGTAGACACTAAAGTAGACTCAAATTGAGTTAAATTGCTTTGTTTAGTATAAAATGATTTTGAGCTTATTCTTGAAACTGTTGTACCTTGAGGAACCATATGATCAAAATTCGGAATAGAAGAATGTTGAGTTTTTATTATTTTAGCTTTAGCTTTTGTAATACATGTGTCAGATTCGGTTAATTTTCTTTTGTTACTTTTTAACAATTCCGGGCCTAATATGTAAACTGTTGTACTTAGTGGAATATCCTTAATCAAATCTGCTATTACTTGTGTAGTAGATATATTCATTTTGATTTCTTTGTATTTAGTTTTCTTAATATCTGTAACAGATTCAGTTCGATTTCTGTTTTCACTATTTAAAGAATAATGGTATAATTTTGGAGTTTTGAAGTTTTCTGGTGTAATATTGTTGTGTAAGTCTGTAAAAACTGGAGCAAAAAAAATGTACAGTTATTTTATTTTCAGTTTTCTTAAATCCTATGTAAGTGAGAGTTATTTCTATGCAATATAGTTTGATTTACCTTTTTGGTTTATGTCCGAATTGTTTTTTTTCTCTAAAACTCCATTTTTTTTATATAATGTCATGTCCTATAACACAATCAAGACAATTTTAAGTATAACATTAAATTGAAAAGAATAATTTGCTAGTAAAAGTGTATGGATCATTTTATTGTTATCCACTTTAAATAGTACAATAAATCATTATAATAAAATAAAGATAATTATTTTCTAAAATTTAAGTTGGAACATAACAGTGGATATTAGTTGTAATGTTTTGGTTACAGACTGGATTTTTGTCTAAAACTAGTTGTCAATCTTTAGTCCGGATATTGTACCATTCAGCATAGGAGACTATGGGATTTTTTTACACCTAAGACACCTGTTGCTATAAAAGTGCCTATGTTATTACACATACACATATATAAGCAGCTAAAACTGATAGGAAATAATAGAGATAAAAAAATATAGTAAGTGCAAATCAATTGGATAAAATCATTTGATCTTTAATTTAGGAGAGAGAGGAAGCTCAAGCAGGCCAAAAAATCTGGACTGCAATATACATAACTATATAGATATTAATATTATTATTTTTATTTAAAATGTAAATTAAGTGTTGAAATTTACCATTTGATTTTGATTTTTAATACTGTTATGCCTTGTATTTATATCACATTTTGTACTTTCTATAAAAGATTTCATTTTTAATTCCAAACATTCAAACTTCATTTTCCAAGCATCATTAATGTCTTTCAAACTTTCAATATCTAATTTAGTTTTAGTAGATAGATGTATCAGACGTTCATTCGCTTTGTTAAATAAAATACTTTCAAACACCTAAAATATTAATTAATATTATCAATTAACTATATTTTCAATGTAAAAAAATGTATTACCTTAATTCCTTTCAAAGGATCACTCAATTTGTTTAAAATTTCTGGCCAATTTGCTTTACAATAAATAGATATCATACTATCTTTCACCAAATTAACATCATTGGTCACATAGTTAGGATCTCCATCAGGATGGTCTGTATGATTTTGATCGCTATCGTTGTCAATATTTCTAGTATCATCCTCAACACCAATACACTTGGTCACACAGCTTTTAATTGAAGGTGTAATATTAATTTTAGATGTTAAAATTGTAGGTATGTTAGTAGTTATAGTATTTTTATTTTTATTTATATTACTAGTCAATGAGTTCTTTTTCTTGCGAGTAAGAATATTAGTAGTTAACGTATTAATTTTTGTATTTAAATTACAAACAACATTATTTTTATCTTTGTCTACATTACTAGTCAAAGTATTTTTATCTTTATGTATACTATTAATCAATGAGTGCTTTCTCTTGCAAGCAAGAATTTTAGTAGTTAACATTTTAATTTTTTTATTTAAATAATTACTAATAACATTATTTTTATCTTTGTCTACATAACTAGTCAAAGTATTTTTATCTGTATTTATATTACTAATCAATGAGTGAATTCTCTTGCGAGTAAGAATATAAGTAGTTAACTTATTTGTTTCTTTATGTGTATAACTAGTTAAAGTATTTTTATATTTATTTTTATTACTAATCAATGAGTGCTTTCTCTTGCGATTAAGAATATTAGTAGTTAACTTATTTGTTTTTTTATGTGTATAACTAGTTAAAGTATTTTTATCTTTATTTATATTACTAATCAATGAGTGCTTTCTCTTGCGATTAAGAATATTAATAGTTAACTTATTTGTTTCTTTATGTGTATAACTAGTTAAAGTATTTTTATCTTTATTTATATTACTAATCAATGAGTGCTTTCTCTTGCGATTAAGAATATTAGTAGTAAACGTACTTATTTCTTTATGTTTATTACTATTCAAGGTATTTTTATCATTGTTTATATGATTAGTCAAAGTATTTTCATCTTTATTTATATTACTAATAAATGCATTTTTTTCTTTGTTTGTATGAGTATTTGTAGTTAACAGAATTATTTCTTTGTGTGTATTACTAGTCAAAGTATTTTTATCTTCACTTATATTACTAATCATAGTATTTTCATCTCTATTTATATTACTAATCAATGCATTTTTTTCTTTGTTAGTATGAGTATTTGTTAATGGAATTATTTCTTCGTGTGTACTACTAGTCAAAGTATTTTTATCTTCATTTATATTACTAATCAAAGTATTTTCATCTGTATTTATATAACTAATCAATGCAATTTTTTCTTTGTTAGTATGAGTTCTTGTAGTTAACAGAATTATTTCTTCATCTGTATTACTAGTCAAAGTATTTTCATCTTTATTTATATTACTAATCAATGTATTTTTTTCTTTGTTAGTATGAGTATTTGTTAATGGAATTATTTCTTCGTGTGTATTACTAGTCAAAGTATTTTTATCTTCATTTATATTACTAATCAAAATATTTTCATCTTTATTTATATTACTAGTCAATGAATTTTTGTTATTGTGATTATGAGTATTAGTACTTAACAGAATTATTTCTTCATGTGTAGTACTAGTCAAAGCATTTTTATCATTGTTTATATTACTAGTCAAAGTATTTTCATCTTTATTTATACTACAAATCAATGAATTTTTGTCATTGTGAATATGAGTACTAGTACTTAACAGAATTATTTCTTCATGTGTATATCTAGTCAAAGTATTTTTATCATTGTTCATATTACTAATCAATAGGTTATTTTCTTTTTGAATAGTATTAGTAGTTACAATTATTAATTCTTGATGTATATCACTAGTCAAATTATTTATATTATTGTTTATATTATTAGTCAATGTCTTGTTATCTTTATTTATATTAATTTTCAATGAATTCTTTTCTTTGGGAGTGTGAGTATTAGTAATTAACGTAATTAGTTCTTCATGTGTATTACTAGTTAATGAGTTTTTTTTATTGTGCCTAAGAATTTTAGTAATTTCTGTATTTTTTTCTTTATGTGTATTACTATTCAAAGTAATTTTATCATTATTTATATTAATTGTTAAAGTATTTTCATCTTTATTTATATTACTAATCAATGCATTTTTTTCTTTGATAGTTTCAGTATTAGTAGTTAACATATTTATTTTGTTATGTTCATTGCTAGTTGAAATATTAGAAGTCAACGTATTTTTTTCCTTATGAGTTATACTAGTTGATGGATTTATTTCTTCATACGTATTACTACTAGTCAAAGTATTATTATCTTTGTTTATATTACTGATCAAAGAACTTTTTTCTTTGCTTGTATTAATAGTATTATTATTTATTTTTTTGTCTGTGTTAGTATTCGAAGCATTTTTTTCTGTATCTGTATGAGTAAGCAAAGTACATTCATTCATTTGTTTGTGATTTTTCTTCTTCTTAATGGCAATCAAGTTTTGTTTTTTTGGCAATTTTTTCTTATGAGCTTTGTTAAAAGCTTTGATCTTGTCATTGAAAGAAGAACACCTAATACTATTCTCTGTTAAGTCATTTTCCACATTATTCATGTCAATCTAAAAAACAGTTTAATTTATAATTATGGTTATGAATAATAACTTACGACCAACAAAATATATACATCAAAATAAACAAATTACAAAACAGTTCAGTATCAATAACTTATTTAAATTAATTAATTATTTTTATAATACATGTAAAAATAAAGATTTTTAAAGTTTATAGTGAATTTAATTAAAAATTATTAATAATTAATTTTATGTTGTAAAGACATATATTATAACTAAGAAGTGTCTTTTTTTTTACTTAGACACAGTAACATTTAACTTATATTTCAATGATTGTTACTTAAATACAAGACAATTATTTTGTAATCGACGGCCAATCCTTTAGTCAAATTGGTAAAATAGTTAACTTAAATTTAACTTAAGGAGTACAAGCTATATTTAAAATATATATATTTATAAGTAAACCGCACATCAAGTATTTATGAAGCAATTTACTTGGCCAACTAAAGAAACCTAAAATGGGCTCTTACTTAATATAGTTTTATATTTCAGGTTTAAAAGTTATTTAATATTCAATAATGGGATTAACAATTCACTGATTTTTTGAGGTTGACAACAACAATTTATTTAATTATTTTTGACATAATTTTATGTACACATGGCTAAAATCAGATATATTCTATTAATTATCTTGCATGAAAGTTACCGTTATAGATATCACTTGGGGAAATAAATATATTAAGGTAAAATTAATAAATAAGCCACTAATAGATAACAGTTGCTATTATGTAGTTCTAAATTATATTATGGAATCTTATTTTGACACATAATAGCAATTAACACAATTTTATTTTACAAGTAGTTTTAAGTAGTAATATTTCAATATAATATTTAGGTAATTAAAAAAATTATAATTATAGCATAATGATTTATAACATAGGTATGTAATTTTACTTGTATTCACTTCATGCCTTACATATAAACAAAAAATCTACTTGACTACCACAATAGTGCCAATTCATATCAGGAAAATAATAAGAAAAAATATATATAAAAATATATTTATCAATTATTGTGTATATAAAAGATTAAAATGTACAACTTCCTTGCAAACATGCAAGAAGTCTTATTCTAGTTTTTAGTTTTAAATAGATAAAATAACATATAAATATATTGAACTTTTTATTTAAAAATGCGAGCAGTTTAATGATATTGTTAAAATCCAAGTTATTTTTATATTGAAATTATTGTAACTAATTATTTGAAGATAATATGCACCTATAATATATTTAACGTGGCATGGTGTGGCACAGAGTATACACTCAACTGCGAAAACACACTATGTATAGTAATAACCGGCGTTGCTAGTTCCCGGATGGGTGACCACCCGGAGTTTTTAGCAACAAATACTTGCCACACATACCAAACGTGTTTTCAACCGTTCCTCCCACTACTAACAACCTACAAACAAACAAAAAACCAACAGCTAATGGCCTAAGTTGCCGGGCTCAAGCTCAATAGAAAAAAATATATATATTTTACATTAACAGTACAAGAACAACATTTATAAATAATACATCTACTACATGCAATTTAAAAAATAAATAAATGTACATTTAAATAACTTACTTTTTTTTGTTTAATTGTATTTCTTGTAACTCTAATTTTTGGACATTCTAAATCGAAACTTATATCATTTATGTTTTTATTTTTGATTATTTGTTCAGGTTCATCTGTGTATCTATGTTCGTCATCAGGATGAGAATTCTACAGAAAAGTATTAAAAAATATAAAAATATATTTATCAATTATTGTGTATATAAAAGATTAAAATGTACAACTTCCTTGCAAACATGCAAGAAGTCTTATTCTAGTTTTTAGTTTTAAATAGATAAAATAACATATAAATATATTGAACTTTTTATTTAAAAATGCGAGCAGTTTAATGATATTGTTAAAATCCAAGTTATTTTTATATTGAAATTATTGTAACTAATTATTTGAAGATAATATGCACCTATAATATATTTAACGTGGCATGGTGTGGCACAGAGTATACACTCAACTGCGAAAACACACTATGTATAGTAATGGCCGGCGTTGCTAGTTCCCGGATGGGTGACCACCCGGAGTTTTTAGCAACAAATACTTGCCACACATACCAAACGTGTTTTCAACCGTTCCTCCCACTACTAACAACCTACAAACAAACAAAAAACCAACAGCTAATGGCCTAAGTTGCCGGGCTCAAGCTCAATAGAAAAAAATATATATATTTTACATTAACAGTACAAGAACAACATTTATAAATAATACATCTACTACATGCAATTTAAAAAATAAATAAATGTACATTTAAATAACTTACTTTTTTTTGTTTAATTGTATTTCTTGTAATTCTAATTTTGGGACAATCTAAATCGAAACTTATATCATTTATGTTTTTATTTTTGATTATTTGTTCAGGTTCATCTGTGTATCTATGTTCGTCATCAGGATGAGAATTCTACAGAAAAGTATTAAAAAAATATAAAAATATATTTATCAATTATTGTGTATATAAATTATTAAAATGTACAACTTCCGTACAAACATGCAAGAAGTCTTATTCTGGTTTTTAGTTTTAAATAGATAAAATAACATATTAATATATTGAACTTTTTATTAAAAAATGCAAGCAGTTTAATGATATTGTTAAAATCCAAGTTATTTTTATATTGAAATTAAAGTAACTAATTATTTGAACATAATATGCACCTATAATATATTTAACGTGGCATGGTGTGGGCACAGAGTATGTGAAAACACATTGAGTGTAGTAATGGCCGGCGTTGCTAGTTCCCGGATGGGTGACCACCCGGAGTTTTTAGCAACAAATCATTGCCACACATACCAAACGTGTTTTCAACCGTTCCTCCCACTACTAACAACCTACAAACAAACAAAAAACCAACAGCTAATGGCCTAAGTTGCCGGGCAGTCGCTCAATAGAAAAACATATATATATATTTTACAGTAACAATACAAGAACAATTTTTATAAATAATACATCTACTACATGCAATTTAAAAAATAAATAAATGTACAATTAAATAACTTACCTTTTTTTGTTTACTTGTATTTCTTGTAATTCTAATTTTTGGACATTCTAAATCGAAACTTATATCATTTATGTTTTTATTTTTGATTATTTGTTCAGGTTCATCTGTGTATCTATGTTCGTAATCAGGATGAGAATTCTACAGAAAAAAATTAAAAAAATATATAAAATTATATTTATCAATTATTGAGTATATAAATGATTAAAATGTACAACTTCTGTACAAACATGCAAGAAGTCTTATTCTGGTTTTTAGTTTTAAATAGATAAAATAACATATTAATATATTGAACTTTTTATTTAAAAATGAGAGCAGTTTAATGATATTGTTAAAATCCAAGTTATTTTTATATTGAAATTATAGTAACTAATTATTTGAACACAATATGCATATATAATATATTTAACAGTAACAATATAAGGACAAGTTTTTATAAATAAAACATTTGCTACGTACAATTTAAAAAGTAAATAAATAAATGTAAATTTAAATAACTTACTTTATTTTGTTTACTTGTATTTCTTGTAGTTCTAATTTTTGGACATTCATAATCGAAACTTATATCATTTATGTTTTTATTTTCGATTATTTGTTCACGTTCATCTGTGTATCTATGTTCGTAATCAGGATGAGAATTCTACAGAAAAAAATTAAAAAAATATATAAAATTATATTTATCAATTATTGAGTATATAAATGATTAAAATGTACAACTTCTGTACAAACATGCAAGAAGTCTTATTCTGGTTTTAAGTTTTAAATAGATAAAATAACATATTAATATATTGAACTTTTTATTTAAAAATGCGAGCAGTTTAATGATATTGTTAAAATCCAAGTTATTTTTATATTGAAATTATAGTAACTAATTATTTGAACACAATATGCATATATAATATATTTAACAGTAACAATATAAGGACAAGTTTTTATAAATAAAACATTTGCTACGTACAATTTAAAAAGTAAATAAATAAATGTAAATTTAAATAACTTACTTTATTTTGTTTACTTGTATTTCTTGTAGTTCTAATTTTTGGACATTCATAATCGAAACTTATATCATTTATGTTTTTATTTTCGATTATTTGTTCACGTTCATCTGTGTATCTATGTACGTCATCAGTATGAGAATTCTACAGAAAAAAATTTAAAAAATATATAAAATTATATTTATCAATTATTGAGTATATAAATGATTAAAATGTACAACTTCTGTACAAACATGCAAGAAGTCTTATTCTGGTTTTTAGTTTTAAATAGATAAAATAACATATTAATATATTGAACTTTTTATTTAAAAATGCGAGCAGTTTAATGATATTGTTAAAATCCAAGTTATTTTTTTATTGAAATTATAGTAACTAATTATTTGAACACAATATGCATATATAATATATTTAACAGTAACAATATAAGGACAAGTTTTTATAAATAAAACATTTGCTACGTACAATTTAAAAAGTAAATAAATAAATGTAAATTTAAATAACTTACTTTATTTTGTTTACTTGTATTTCTTGTAGTTCTAATTTTTGGACATTCATAATCGAAACTTATATCATTTATGTTTTTATTTTCGATTATTTGTTCACGTTCATCTGTGTATCTATGTACGTCATCAGGATGAGAATTCTACAGAAAAAAATTAAAAAAATATATAAAATTATATTTATCAATTATTGAGTATATAAATGATTAAAATGTACAACTTCTGTACAAACATGCAAGAAGTCTTATTCTGGTTTTTAGTTTTAAATAGATAAAATAACATATTAATATATTGAACTTTTTATTTAAAAATGCGAGCAGTTTAATGATATTGTTAAAATCCAAGTTATTTTTATATTGAAATTATAGTAACTAATTATTTGAACACAATATGCATATATAATATATTTAACAGTAACAATATAAGGACAAGTTTTTATAAATAAAACATTTGCTACGTACAATTTAAAAAGTAAATAAATAAATGTAAATTTAAATAACTTACTTTATTTTTTTTACTTGTATTTCTTGTAATTCTAGTTTTTGGACATTCATAATCGAAACTTATATCATTTATGTTTTTATTTTCGATTATTTGTTCACGTTCATCAGGGTTTTTATGTTTGCGTTCAGGATCAAGTGGATGAATAAAAAACTTTTTATTATAAGAATTACAAAACTTAACAAGTTTATTAGCTTTATCATTTTGATCAATATTAATGTCAGCATAATCATTCTTTGATTTAAGCATTTTATTGTTAAGAGCTATATCCTCTTCATTTAATTTAATTTCAAGATAACCATTCTTTGATTTAAACATGGTATTATTCCTAAAAAAAAATTGAAATAAATAAAATAATCAAACATGCTTTAAATTTTTTTAATTAATATCCGAAATTTTTCATAAAAAAAACATCATTATAAATTACCAACAGTTTGAAATGTTATAGGAACACAATTTCTGTTACTATACATATTATAATCTACTATTATTAATATACCAAAATATTTTGGATTCTGAGAAGAGCGATAAATGTATTGATTCTACAATAATATGTTTTTTTGGCTGCAGAGACACTTTTATAGTAGGAAAAATGCTTCAATCCTTATTTTAAATATAATTTCTGATAGGAAGGTGAAGTACATTAGTGAGACAAAAGTAAGTTCTCGGTAATTATCTTCATAGTTAGGACAAACAAAAAAAATAAATAGGTAACCGTTCTGCTATGCCATTATTCAGTAAGTCACTACCTACCTATAATGTTTATAAAACTATTTATATATATAATTATTTTTCAATTTTTTGATTATTTGATGTACCTACTATGCATAATATGAGAAACATTGAATTAAATTTTTAATCATTAGCTGGCTATAATATTTTTATAAAATTCATCTTTAAAATAAATTTCAAATCTTCGTGAATTTTGTCTGAAATTGAATTTCAAATCTAAATGTCTACAAAAAAATTGTCTCTATGTAACTAGTATATATATTAAAATTGCAATATTAAATACTAATGGGAACTTTATATTAATTTTTTGAGAATTTTCACGAGCAAAAATGAATTTATCGATATTTAATTGAAATTTTTTGAGCTAATTATAAACATTTGAATATTTTTCAGTTTGTATTTTTAGGTGTTGCTAGAATTTTTGACCTGTAAAATGTTTGAAAAATGAATACAAGGTTAGGCAATAAAACTTTAGGCATTTGCATATTTGTCTAGAAAGTGCATTGAAAATCTGATTAGATACAAATTCGATTCATGGTATACCTACCTACGTATATTTCAAGCACAACATTTTGTTGCATAATTTTGTATATTATTTCGTTTTTTTTTTTTTTGTGCGAATTCGCATATTAAAACAATTTTTTTTTAAAAATTTATAGTTTAACAAATAAATATTAGATATACGACAACCAAAATTCTAAATTTTATATCGTATGACAAAATGAATTAATTCATCAACGGATTTTATTTTATTGCTCCCAATGCACTCAATAATAATATTATAAACTCAATAATAGTATCGAAAACTCGTAATAGTGACCGTCGATCGGCTCATATTTATTTGTATCCAAATTTACTACGCTCCATTAATATTTTGTACCATGATATAAATAAATTGTATAATCGTAGGTAATTCATAAGCAAATATGTTTAACCATTAGGTCGTTATCAGTTTATACACAATATTATTTCTTATGAGTTATGAGTCATAAGTTATAATTAGTGTAATTTGGTAATGGTTTGTTATAACCCCACCCGGACGCGTAAAAACTTTATAACCCCAACAGTAATATATTTCAAAAAAAGTGTATAAATGATGAAATATTAATATTAATTATTTAAGTTACCGGAATTTACATCGAGCACTTGTGTTAACAATTCTTTAGACTTATGTTCATAATAATATATGAAATATTATTATATATACCTAAACCTACTAAATCTGTAAATCGAATGACTACAAACTAAACACATACGAATCCCCCCCTCATTTTTTTCTGACTACCACCCACAGTTATTGTTTTACACTTTTACCGTTTCATTAATACCTGCAGGCGTTGCATGAATATTAATGAAACTGAGATGGATATTAATAACTAATAAGTAACTTTTTTTTCGTAAGTGAACCTAGTGAACCAATATTACAAGCAGAAATAAAATAATATGCGGTTAATATTATTCCGAGTAACCCTAAAATAACTGGTTTGATCTGTTCAAATTTTTCTTGATCCATCAAAATGGTTTGAATATTTTTTTTATTAAATAAGTCCCAGCCATACTACGCTTTGCTTTTTATAATATATAATAGCTGTTACCTGTGGCTTTTGTTCTAATACTATTAGGAACCATCCGGGATCCTAAATAATACATGTGTACAATTTGGTGCCAATTTGTCAAAAATAATGGATTTGCATAATACATTAATATCTATGCGTCATTAAGATACAACCCGACTACCTATCTATTATAATATCTATCTACCTGTCATTTCCGTTTTGCTTTAAAATATTGTCAATGGGGTTTTGTCAAAATCGATCGAGAATTTGTATAATACATATTATATTATAAACCTCAACCATACATTTTGCCTATCATATTATAATATAATAGCTCAATAGGACTTAGGTACTCAATTTTATACTTCTCTAGAATAGCTTTATTAGGCTAAATTACAAAATATATTATAATACAGAAAAATATACCTATTTATAATATCATACTATTGTATTATCTGAAGACTGAAACCAATGGCAACACGCCAACACTGAACGGATGTACTCCTGTACATCCACAAAAAAAAAATAATCGATTTGTGTGAGCCTTAATTAAATTAAGTGAGGCGCGGGCTACCCTATGGCCTATAGCGACATACATGAGTTGAAAAATGAAGCTAAAAACCCTCCCAGATTCTTAAGGAGTTGATTTATATTTATATAAATTTTATTTAAAATGGTATGGTGGTTATTGAGTCTAAAAGGACAATGGAAGAAAGAATAATTTATTTATAAGTATAGATGAACGCCGGAAGTTTAAATGTTGACAAAAATGTATATTCATGCGAAAAAACGATTTTATTTTTAGGTTATAATTCAAAAAGTATTATCCGTAGAAACACTAGAAACATTTCACTGTTACTAAATTATAATTTTCTTAGCCCAGCATGGGTACAGAGTGTACAGACACGGGGGGTTTTGGTGGATGGATTCCCAATGACAGTTTTTTTGATTCTGAGTGGAGCGATGAATATATTTATTTTACAATGATATGTGTTTTTTCTTGTGTCCGTCATCACCTTTTAGGGCAGTAAAAATGCATCGATTTTCTACTTCAGTATATTTTCTGGTAGGAAAGTGAATCTAGTTGGTATTTTGGGGAAAAGTTGACTAAAAGTGAAAAATGCTTGGCAAAACTGAAAAATTATCATTAGTTTTCAAGGCAAGGGGAAAAAAAATAAGGAAAAACAGAGATATTAACGCAAAACTAGTTTTCAACAAAGTCGATTTTGCTATTTGGTGTAACTCTAAAAAAATAACCATACCGCAGTTAAATGAAATGTTCACAGAATGTTTATATTACCATTTCATATACACAATGACATTTTCAAAATATTTTGACTCTTTTCAAGTTATTTATAGGCATATGAAAATTTCAATTTTTATTAGTTTTTTTAAAAACTATTGTCCATGAACATTTTTTTTTTCGCTTGGCAAAAAACCTAAAAATTCAATACAAAGTTTATCATAAGTTGTTGTTGGTGGAAATTAAAAAAAAGTTAAGCGTAAATCCACAATATTTTTTTATGAGCGTCTGAAGTTAGACATTGGAAATTCATCAGTAGATTAACAAAATCTCATATAAATGTTCTTATTTTGTTGTAATTCAAAAACTAATAAGCGTAGATACTTTAAATTTTCACCAAATTTTCTATAAATATTTAAATGTACATATTTTAACAATTTTTGAGCTATTTATAGGCTATTTTTATTAGTTTTTATTTAGTTACGCCTAAAAGTGGGTAGTGTAGGTGGTTGTTAAAGTAATTGAACTGGTAGTTTAATAATAATTCAGCGCCACTGTTACTCACTATAGTTGCTTTATTGTATAATATCAAAGTGGCCAATTTTCAATCTATAATAATTCAACAGAACATGTAACTACGTAAGAACTCACTTGGAAGATGCATAATCTAAATGTAATAGCTGTCTTGAATCATTCTTGCACAAATAATGATAATAAATGTTTTATTTGAGCTAAGATATAAATTTACAGATGGATAACAATTTACAGTTCCTATGCAAATGTTTTAGTTATTTCTTAACTTGATTTTTTTGAAGGACTGTCAGTTTGATTGCAATACATGCACAAACATGTTTTAAAACAAATATTCGATACTAGAATATGTTTTATAAGATGATCTAGCTTATGGTACTGGTCACTTGAGATTTTGCTAAAAATTCTCTGCTGCTGTCTTTCAAAGTTAAGTTGATTAAAGATATTATAGAAAATGGCAACTTAACAATATAATATTTAACAATCTTCCTATTGCCTGCTAATCTATTAGGTGATAAAGCCAAAATCCCACAACTCAAAATTAATACTGTGACGTCTAGGTGAATTTAGGAGTTTAAAGATCTATCACTAAATTTAAGAAAACAATACTGTCAAGATAATAAAATATTGTCTAACAAAGAAGTTATAGCTATATATGCATTACTGCATATGTTTAGTAATAATGACATCAAATTTGTTTGATTATGTGGTGCACATTGTATTATTATTTCTTAACCACCCAATCTACCTCCTCAGAACAAATTATTTACTTGGTATACTATGTATTAAATACACGGTTTAATCTAAAGACGCACCTGATACCCGGTACTGAACCCTTACTTTTATTTGGTGCAATTGAACCGACTTCAGTAGGTAATGTAGTATAAAATTATTGTAAATCTACTTTGTTAGACAATATCTTGATTTACTTCTTTTTAAATTTGGTTATAGGTCTTCAAGCTCTAATATAATAATTGTACCACAAATTTGCTATTAAATTCCACTAATAATCCCACATATATGATAATTTTAAATAAAATATATAATTATATATTCAGCGAGGTAAAAATGTTGACAATTTATCGAATTTGTAAAAAACTAATATTTAGCATACTTGAATATATTTTGAAGATGTAAGAATATTTAACCTAATTTTCATTTTTTTCTGTAATTTTCACAATTCAGAATAAATTGCATGATTTTCTGTAAAAAAAAATCATACAAAATGTCTAGTTTATGTTTGTTATTAAATTGGTAATGTTAGTCACTTATTTACTCTAAGTATTGTGTAAACCCGGCTTTCACGTATCTATAGTCAATTTTCACTATGATAATAATCCATAATAGTGTTTCAAACTAAATATGTTATCATTTATCAATATTTGAAAAAAATGATTAGTTCAATTGATTGAAATTCTTCATTTTTGTAAAACCATTATCCATATTCTAAAACAATTTACCATATTATGTAGATTATGTGACAGAATAAGTATATGAATATAAGTAAATAATTAGCATATGAATATGGATATGGAATATTTTAGGTTTAGGAATTGTTTGTGCATATTTTACCGGTTTTTAAAGTAACATTTATAACTTTTAAACAACAAATAAATCCTCCTATTTATTTAATAATTTCAAAATGAAGTGTTGGTACATAAATAATGCTAATAAGTTATAGGTATTTTTTTTTTCTTACATGGACTAATACCGCAAGCAGAAATAAATGAATATGAGGTTGAGGTTTTAATATTATTAATAGGGGGTAAGCCTAAAATATTCTATTGTTCAATTTATCATATATACTTTCGTTGAATCATCAAAATCGTTAGTGTTTTTTTTGATTCTGTAAGCCTCCCTACCTCAGCCATACACTTTGCCTTTTATTTATAATAACTTGTGGATTGTCTTCGAATACTCTTAAAACCCGGTCGTGGTCTGTGATCCTAAATAATATCTGTGGGAAATCTGGTGCCGATTTGGCAAAAATTGTAGATTTGCATTATATCCGTTAAGATATAACCAGACTAAGTCTGTATTAGCCGGCATTCTGTTCTAATTTATCTATCTGTCATTTCAGTTTTGCTTTGAAATATTCTCAATTGTTTTTTATCAAAATCAATCTAGGATTTTTTTAATATAATATACTTTGCTTCTTATATATAATAGCTGTTAGGTACTCAATTTTATACTTCTATAGAATAGCTTTATTAGCCTAATATATTATAATAGAGAAAATTAAGTCCAATATCACAATAACTATTTTATTATCTGTAACCAATGGTAACTTATAAACTAAAAATATCTAAGGTCATAAATAACCATAATATCCAACAGATTAAATATCCAGGAATAACCAATGCATAGAACAAAATAACCTAACCTATCCAAATAAAAAAAATTTTACGGGCTTACACAATATCACAGTGGACATAGTAAGTCAGTTCAAATTAAAAATAAAATAATAATACAAAATTATATAAACATTTATTTTTAAAAATATTATAGTATGATTATTATACTAACGTATTACATTTACTCGATACCTGCTTTATTTATTTTATTACTATATTATTAAATGATTTAAAAATGAACAATGAACCTAATTCAAAAATAATGTAGGTACTTAACTTTTATTAATATTTTCTTTTGAAAAAAATTTATTTGATTTTTTTATTTGGATATATTGTCTAATACATTTGTTATTTTATCTGTTGATAGTTTTATTTTATTTATGAAAATAGCAAATTTAACGAAAGAAGTAGTGGTACAGTATTTAGTGAGAGCGAGGGGCAAAGCTCCTAACCGGTCTGTTTTCTCTTCAATAGGCGCTTTAGATGCTTTATCCTCAATTGTTGAGTTATTTGTTAAACAAAATAAACAGTTTAACAGATTGTTTGAAAAATATTCAATGTGAATTTTTCATGGTACTATGACAAACCTAACCAGAGACATTCAACAGGAACTCAAACTTTGGCATTCAAATTTAAACTCAACCAAATTGTAGTTAATAATATTTATTGTTGCTCTACATCTATCATTATCTTTATTATAGTAATAATTAATATAATATAATTTGTTTTTCATTGTTGTATACTATATATTATAATATTTAATGTTGGAACTCAACACCATATTATTATAATAAACAAATAAATAATAGCAGTTGTCTTTAATTTAACCAATTAGTGAAATAAAAAATAATATTAAGTCCAAATCTAGGGAAGAACAAATTAATTGAAAATCATTTTTTATAAATTTGATACAAACATATTCATACATTTACCATAATAATTAACTTCTTATAGTGTATATATACATATATTTATATTGCAGGTAGTTGTTTTAATTGTATAAGTTGATATTTTCTATATAATATATAAATACAACATTTATAGCAGTAGATGATCATGTGATATATATATCAGTCATATTTTAGGTGGCATACAATAGGTAACACAAAAAAGAATTTAGTGATCTTAAAGTTGAACAAAAAGGTATTATAGTATTTTACTGATATAGGTAGTTAGGAATTGCATTTATTATGTTATTATGTATAACGTAAGTCAAAAGGAATCTAGGAAAAAAATCCCCAAAGCTACACCTGACTGTACTGTTGGGTACAACAGCTGTCAAAAATAAAAATTAATAATAATAAAATAATATACAATTTGAATGATAATTATTATAGTATTATAATATTCATAAATAGGTGTATATTATATTATATGATATTGCTATATAAATATTTTTTATTTATTTATAAACAGATAGGTAAACCCTTTACTAATAAAAATTAAAAGTACAGTAAGTTGAATCTCAATTTGACAAATATTATACTGAAATTAAATTATGTTATATTATAAATGAGCTAATATTTTTAAAGTTAATCTTATTCCTATTCATAAAATCTAACATCTTAAATTATTTTTTAACTAAAGTATTAATATGTAATTATATACTACAGTTATCAATTTTATAATAAAAGACAATAGACCTAACTAATAGCATTATCTAGTCGAAAAAAAGTAATAGGAATAACCGCAATAATTTATATCTAGTAGAAGGTCAGTTCGACAACTGTTATACAAGTAAAATTAGAGTATCATTTAATAGTCACTGGAGTGAATTGACTTCTCACAAAATGTAAAGTTAAGATTATTATCTAGGCAATATCATAGGATTTTATATTATATTTTAATTATGAGTATATTTATTATTTTATGATGTACAATTGTACACATATACATACAAGTATTTGCTTTGTGGATTTTGTTTGGATTTTATTGAATAGTACAGTTAGGCATAGCTTTGGGGATTTTTTTTCCGATTACCAGTCATAAGACAGTAAAATTTACCAAATTACAATTATTTTTGTTTGCTTTAGTTTTTAATTTGTATTTGATATCATAAATATACCATTGAATCGTTTGATTGTATTATTAACAGTAATTTATAGTAAAACAGTTTTGAAATATGTATAGGTACAGTATTATCCTACATGTTTTATTAATTCTTGTAAAGTTATTTAATTTATCATATACGATTAAACATAATGGTAGGTTGCTCAATCATAAATGATAAGGCAGTAGAAGTAAGGCACATATTGCTATTATGTCTTTACATAAATCAATTATAAAATCAAATTTGTACATATGTTTTGTGCAAATGAACAAAAGTGAAATGCACACGTATAATAATGTGTTAGTAATATGGGTCAACGATATAGTAGGTACCATCATTAAGAAGTAACCAAACTAAGACATAAAACTGTGCAAAAATACAACTACTATTAGTTGAAAATATGGTATTAAGGTAATGTATTTTTCCAAATGTTTTGGAGAATATTTTATCTACTATTTTGTGCACAATTATAAGCAGCCCAGACAACAAATGTTTGACTAAAAATATTATTAGGTATAACATTATTATAATATTATCATTACAAAATACTATCCGGGAATATACAGGCAATTAACATAATATGAAATGTTAAGATAATATAAAAGCATAATAACAAATGAAATGTGAAAATAATATACAAGCATGATAACATATTAAGATAATCTATTTAATAAAGTAATACTTTTGAGGATGGTATCTATCCTAACAAATTGTAACCAAACAATAATTTCAGGTGAACCATCAATTAATAAAATTGAAAAATTCCATACAAGATGTAGGTACCTAATACTAAATACAAGTGGTAGTTTGTTTAAAAATTTAAATATAAAATGTGATGTATTAAATATTATTTGAAGTCGCCAATAATTGGAATATTGCTCACCTGTACTACATATTTAAGCTAGGTATTGTCATACAAAACTATAAACTTGATTTGTTCAAATAATATTGAACACAACTTATAGTGTTGTCCATCTCTACTATGGCAAGTGGGTGTTTCATGCATAAACTGTAGTTGAAAATTATAATTTATAATTTTAATAAAATACATGACTAGTTTTAGAGTAGGTAATTAATAAGGCGCAAAAATTGTAGGACAACCAAATTGGAAGTAATAGTTGATTTGAGATGATATAATTATTTATTATTGGAAAGAAAAATCTCACTGACTGTCCATATTTTTATATTATAGAAATTGGTCGTTACGCAATCATTGAATCAATATTACAAAGAAAAAATGATTATTAATGGTGTCCCGAAATAAAAAAAAAAACCAGGATAATTGTATTATTAATATTAAATTAGACTGTGTTGTGAGAAATACTATTAAAATTCGAAGCAGGAAATGATAATACTATAAGGCAGCACAATGTTATCAATATTCTTAATTGATAACTTGAACACCAATATTAATGGTCCAAAGGAACCCCCTTCCCAACCCTTACGGAGGTAAAATAATTAAATTAAAATAATATTATATTATACGCTATGTGCGCGAATCGTGCGTTGGTATATGTGCATAATAATATTATAACATATTATTTATAATATCTTACTGAAACTGGGACGTTGAACGGAGTGCCAATATTTTCAATTTTAATTCAATAATTGATTCAGCGTCATCGTCGTGTTCATGAAAGTGATCGATTTTAATAAGTGTTGGTTTTTCCATATCTATTGTCGTTCGAAGAACAGCCTGGCAGTTCGTGGAATAAACACGGTTACATTTCCATCGGATGTGATGGTTGCATTTTTTGTGGTAATGGAACAGGAACCCTTTGTACACGATCCTCGGGTATTTATACGGCCTCACTAGCCTGGTATCGATGATTTCCAGAAGATTCTCTGACATGGTATGGTCGACAAACCACAAAACCCCAACCCGCACGAACGACGGGTGACGACTGATCAGTGGGACAGTGAACAGTGAACACCCGTGCGGCGGCAACCGGATCGTGGCGAACAGACGAAAACTGCGCGCCGCGCAAATCAAGCTAATGGTGCGTTACAAGCCCGCTTCAACCGTCGTCTGTGTTCTGTAGTTGACTGCATACAATATTTATCCATTTTTGTTGAGGCGGTGGTTGCGGTGGTGGTGGTAGTGACAGCCGGGGATTCGGCCTTGGGATCTGGGTTCTAGTTAGCCAGACAATGTATGTGATAGCGTCAGTGTGGGCCTACGTTATCTCGCCCACTGTTCGCACGTTATCGCCAGGATAATACAGCGACGGCAGTCATGATATAATAATATAAATTATTAATGATTCCTTATTCCTTTTTAATAATAATAATTATTATTATTATCCAAGGCAGGGGGGCACGAGAGGCCGTCGTTTAACTAGCCTCCCAATGTAGGTGGCCTGTCAACGTTCAAGTTTCAGTTACTATTCCATGAATATGGAACAGGATCGATATTAACGTTCAACGACTGGACCTGTGTTACAAATGTATGATTCACACGAATACACGATATTGTATAATATTAAAATTATTTAAAATTATATAATTTAAAAATCGTCTCCGTCTTCTCTGTTAATATATTAATTTATTATAATATTATCGTCGTTTTCATTATTATGTATTATCGTAACAGACGTCGTTTCCACAGCGGTTTCACGGAGGGGGTGGTGGGTGTTTTTGGAGGGTGGCCTACTAGGGGTTGTTCACCCTTCATCCAAACTGAAAACTATAATACTTATATTATATTATCAACTACGATGAATGCCAACATGATTTTCCATCATTTTTAATGTTCTCTTCGTTAAGGGAATTTATCCGGTTACTTTTACGGAACAGTACGACGCCATCTCGACGTTTGTTCCCCGTAGCGCATTCAACACGTATAAACGACGAAAGCGACAAAAATGTCATTTTTGTTGATGTAACTACTATAGACGTAGGTACCCCTACAACTTTCCTCAGCACTACCATCTAAAATTGTGGGGTGAAATTGAAATTGTTGGTTGGTACTTCATTTCTCGGTTTCGTGAAAGACCACACGTGACCTGATGTTTTAGCTGCTTGACCAATTATATTTTTATCTGAAACGACTGGTGCCATGGCGGGGTTTACTGAGACGTTCAATCTCTGAAAAATTGAAAAAATACATTTTTTGAATTCATAATAATTACCGCCTCCTTTTACCTATTTATTGAATAATCAACCTGCCTTCTAAAATTGTGAGGAGATGCAAATTGAAATTGTTGGATGGTAGGTATCTTATTTCTCTACTGCGTCACCAGTTTTGTATGGAACGACCGGTGCTGTGGTGGTATTTTCTACGATGCCCGATCACTGGAAAATCGAAACATTACATTTAGGAATTTATAATAATTTCCGTTTCATTTTTTTTTTATTGATCATTAAATACATTGACATCTAGTTCATTAGTACAAGGGTTTTGTGTTAGGTGTTATATCGTTATATGCACTATTTTTTTATTTAATTAAATTATACAATTCTGTTTTCTTTAAGATTAAAATTAAATTGTTTGTGTCCTGTGGGTTTGGTTCAAGTACTTGACAGATTGTTCGGAGATTAATTTATTATATAGATTAATCATTATTCGATTATTTATATCGATAATTGCTTAACAATTTCACATAGCCATAATATTTTGAGATACAATTGCAATGGCAATAAAACATTAACAAATAAATAAATAGTATTTTACCAACCAATTTTGAGTAGGTACAGGACGTACAACTATAAATATATGATGTACAAAAAATATCAAGATATATCAAGTATTTATGTATTTTTGGTTTGTGTCAAACTATGGGATATTTTGTTTTTAGATTTTCGTTTTGAGAATGTTTAGAATATCTTAATTTAAGACCTTTCAGAAAAACTATTATAATATTATAAAAAGCTTTAAAATAAAGTTAATTGAGCTATAAAATAAAACGTTTTGTGTTATTTAAATGAAAAACTGTTGATGTTATTTAAATTTACTTTATTTTCTCAAAAATATAATATTTTATTACGTACGAACGAGGTACTTGTTAAAAACAAATGCTGGTTTTAATTTTTAATGCTTCTGTTTTGATTTAGATTAGATTTTTTTCTTACTCCTTTAAAACTTATTTAATTTTTAAATATCTTGAAAAAGATAAAAGATAATTGGTTCGAAAAAAATGTTTAACCTTTTTTTAAATTAATTTTAAAAACATTCATCGCTCCTCTCAGAATCTAAAAGTAAGCTAATTGAATTTTTTAAAAAACCATACGATTTGGTAGGTGCCTATCTAAAAAAAAGTTAAAAAAAAGGTGTGCAAGTGGGTGTCACTCTGCTGTACAGTAGGTTACAAATGGATCACTTTACTGGATGGCGTTAAATTTTAATTCAATGATATCATATCATTGTATAAGAAAAACGATTCTGACCGAAGACAGTCTATGATATTGCTAAGTACCTATATTGGATGATATAATTTTGAATAAAGTAATTTATATATAACCTATTTACGTGGAACATCGTTTTAAATTTTCAATCTTTAGCTATAAAAGTTGAACATTTTATAAATTTTTAATTACAAAATAATTATTAAATTTTGTCAAAATTCGAACTTTAAATGCTAATTAAAAAAAATTTTGCCTATGTATTTTTTATATTTTTCAACTGCAGCTATTGTAGCAATATATCAGAAGGTTTGTATTAAAATGTCAAGCTTTTTGGCCCAACAAATATTTATATTTATTGAAAAAAAAATAACTAAAAAAATTGAAATTTGAAATTGTTCGTTAACAGCTCAAAACAAGTCGAAATATTTTGAAAATGTTATCAAGTATAGAAATTTATAAAATAAACGTATGATATAAGTCTCAACTCTCAAGTGTTTACAGTTATTCGTTTTTTCGTTATAGGTACTTTATTCATATTATAGTTATCAGTCTTTAGTTTTTTTATTATTTATCACATGATCGTTTCAAATTTAAGAAAGTGGAGGATGTGGGTATCCTATTACGTTGGCTAATTATGACGTCGATACGTTGTTTCCCAAAACCTATTTACCTAATTTTTACTAAGAACATTTACTATAATATGAACTTGATAAATCTAATAATTTATTCAAGAATGATAAAAATATTTAATTGTATTTATGTTTTGCAATAACAATATATTATACAAATAATTATTAAAATTATATAATTAGTAGTATTATATTTATGTTTACCTAAAAATAAATGTACTGTTTTGTAATAATTATATTATTGTATTATTAGTATTAATAATACATAAGAGGGCTACAATCGCATGCGTTTTCTCTGTCTTACAATCACACAACATAGCAAATTGTACTCTCAAAAGATCACGGTCAGCTATGTTAGTTTAAAAATTACAGTGAATTTCACTATAATTCTTAAATTAACAGAACTAAGTGTGATCTGCTGAGCGTACAATTTGATATGTTATGCGCTAGATAGGGAGAACGCATTCGGGCGTAGCGTCCTCTTAATTAACATTTACAGTATTAATATTTAAAAATATATTTTTATCTAGACGATTCAATCATTTATCTTAGACAACGGCACAGATAACATATTTTCCATTTATCTGGATAAGATAGAAAAAAATCTATACTTATCTAAATAAAACACAACACTGATCAAAGGTAGGTACTGATTTTGAATTTCTGGAATGTATCCACTATACCCTCTGAATAGTATAGTATAGTAACTTATGTATAGTTTATACACATTCATTGGCTACATATTAAAAAGAAATGAGAAATGAGAATTGATATTTTTTACTAGTGTCACGGACTAAGATAAACCTACTTGTTGGTGTATGGGTTATGTTGCTCATTCCACAATATTTTGGTTTAACTCTTTTGCTATTGTTTTTTTTATGCAAAATACATAAAATAATACCAAATTTTAAATTTATTAAATCAGTTAAGTAAACAATTCAAATCTTTAAAAATCATAACAGATTTTTTTCCTAAAATATTTTTCTAACAGTTACAACCATACAATTCTACATACATTCGGCCGATGCTGGCATGCTGCAGATGATTATAATTAGCCATACGCGCAATTTTAGAGAGGAGATTAATTAAAAATAATTCAAATAAAATAAATGTTATAATATTAAGTCGTTTTTATTATTTCACGATTGTTTTTAAAATTTAATTTAGGTATAATTCTCATTTTTGAAAATTTACATTATACAATACCTTATGTGAGGGAAAAGGGCGAGAAATTCAGAAATTATCACATTTCATATAATCACCAAGCTCTTGAGTCTTGAGCTTTGAGCTCTAGCTATGAGTATTTTAAGATTTAAAAACAATTTATAATCTTAAAATACTCAAAACTCGTTTTAAAATTAAATTACAATAAAAAAACCTATGGTATTGCCTAGATAATAATCTTACCTTTAAATTTTATGAGAGGTCAATTCACTCTATTTTTTAAACTAATGAAGCTAAACGTGATCTGATGAATGATACAATTTACTATGTTACGTATTATGAAATTTCAAGATCATAAAAATAGGAATACATAGGTATATACGAGAATTATTATCAAGTATATTCTCAATCTTTATTACTTATTCGGTAACTATTGATAGATATTAGGGGATAAAAAACAGCGATCACTATGCGCTACCTATATAAATGATAATGTAAAAAAAAAATTAAACACAAAATCGACAACGACGTCAACGAAGACGACGACGACGCTGATAATAGGAGAATGAGCGGCAGTCAAGCAGTGCCCACTTATATTATTTCCAACATTATTTCATACATACGTCATACGTGGTCAAAATGTACGTGCTACATTATAGTATAATGTAATGTATAGGTATAGTAATAGCCGTAGCCTTTACCCTAATGGCGTCGT